ACAAACCTTACTAAGAGCTACAAAGTCCAGGAAAATGGGGAGGGTCATGATCACCAACGCCCTGAAAGGACACCGCACAGAGAAGACGAAGACGAAGAAGAAGAAGAAGAAGACAGAAACGATATACTAAGTTTTTTTTTATTATTGTGAGGCTAATAAGAGGATTACCATGTATGTATATTTATCCGCTCTAGGGCGTTCTGCTTGGTAGGGCCAAGGACTTTTGAGTATTCGCATGAGAAAAATAATAAATACCTAGTTCCCACCATCAATCTTAGCAGTCATTGACGTGATTTGCACACCGGCTCGCTAGAACTACTGCTCACAAATGGCAGCAGCAAAAGTTTGTACTACTTTGGTTCGTGCGCGCTTTTCATATTGAAATTTTTGAGTACTATTTTAAGTGTGCGTTTGTAGCTATATAAATATATATGTGTGAGGGTGGGGTATATTTCTATACCTATATATGAATAAACGGTTTAATAGACAACGTGTATAAGAAGTTTTTATGAGCTCCAAGTTTATATATATATATATATATATATATATATATATCTGTGTGTGTTTCTCTCTCTCTCTCTCTCTGTGTGTGTGTGTAAGTGTAAGTCATTAAATTTCTTCAGGCCTTACAAAATTTTAGCTAAATGATAAAATATTAGATTTGGTTAGTCAGAACTTCTCAGTCAGCCCAGGAATAAATTCGGAATCGATGTGTTCATATATCAATAAATGGTTGAATAAAGAAATTAAATAAAGAATCCTTTATAGTTATTCACACACACACACACACACAAACGCACACACACACACACACACACACACATATATATATATATGCGTATATATAATTAGGCATATTTAAATATTTAAGTGCATACTTAAATGTTCTCGAACCCAATGAACTTCTCCAAGTCACTATTCTTTTGTCACTGAAATACTGATTTAGGCTAGTGTGTCTTACCAAGGACTATTTAGCACTTATATATATATATATATATATATATATATATATATATATATATATATATATATATATATATATATATATATATATATATCAAGTATATGTGTATATATATATATATATATATATATATATATATATATATATAAAACTTTAATCTCATAAAAATCACATATCTACATAGAATCAAGTATATGTGTGTATGTACATATATATATATATATATATTTTCTATAGTTCACTGCTACCAGCAAGCAGAAAATTATTTTCTCCTGATCATGGCCATGTTGGCCGAAACTAGTCGAGGAATCTAAATGAAATAAAATAAAAACGAAGGAATATTAATATACAACCCAGTGTGGCTGAAGATTTTAATTTTTTAATATTTTTATTGTTCAAATATATATATATATATATATATATATATATATATATATATATATATGTGTGTGTGTGTGTATATATGAAATACATGTGGCTATTCAAAGAAACATATTTTCATGAGAAAACACATAATAATTCAAATACCAATTTTGGTCAATTTTTATAAACTGTGTAACTTCAAATAACTTTTCTTACATCGTTGAAAAATAAAGAACCAAAAAGAAAACAAATGCTCAGCATAAAGAAGGAAAATAAACAAATATTCAACTTACTTTGATGTTTTAAGTTAGTTTGTTTGTTTTCTAATTGTTGTACTTGTTCTTTGTTTACTTTGCATGCGAGTTTAAAGTTTCGTAGAAAAACGATCCAGGAAAACTAAAATATCTCCTTTTAAGTCGCCCATAACCCACAGAGGAGTTCGTCAGTTCCCGAAATGAGTAAACCTAACCATCTTTTCCTTCTATTTTTTTTTTAATTTCTTCTTTCTGGAGACAGTGCCGGGAAGATGCTCGTCTCGTTACAAGCACCAATACTTGATCCTAACGAGTAGCAGGAGTAAGCGGAAAATTAGCAGCAGTACAAGTAAAAATTGTGGGTTTCGTTATACATCTAAAAGGTACCGAGTCAGTGCTTAACAACAGCAACAACAACAGGTTCTACTAAGACTAGTACTACTTTGGCGAATACTACCAATAACACTACTATTTCGGTTTCAGCTACTTCGATGTGTAGGTGCGTGGGACGACTCATCATCATGACACATGTCTTAATCCTGATGCCGAACTGGTGATATTCGTTACAAAAACTTTACAAAGATCTAATTTTAAAATAAAGCACCATTATGTTGTTTTCGGCCAGTACCGTATTTGCAAAAAAAATCTTCACACGTGGTAATAATCGATATTATTTACTAATCACAATAGAAACATTTTTGCTTCGATTACCTTAGTTTAGCGCGTAAGGACCGTGGCTTATCTCGTAAAGATGTCGCCTTCTTTCTTTAATATTCTGCTTGTTAGTTGTGTAATCATAATCAACGCTGAAGTCTTGCTAAAGTTATCTGATAAAGGCATCGGTTCTTTAGTAGCGGTATAAAAATGGTTAGATCGAATCCAGATAATTGTATCGGCAAATCGATCCTTTGATTAATTTTCAGCACTTATTTCCCATGTCTATTTCGTTTATTCCGGCATGCTTGTAAAATCGTGAACATTCGCTTCATCTGCTGTTGATATTTACAATGCTTCAGTAATTTCCACTACTATTTCTTTACAGCGATATTTCTTTTCGTTCTACCGGTATAAACGTTTACAGCCTAGGACTCGTCATGCTACTTACATGGAGTTGAATCAACTTCATTTCCCCCATATTCCAAATGTAAGATGATAGTGCAACCCAAACGTAAGTGCTTCATCAAACGCTATAAATTCTTCAAGTGAAAGGTCAATTGTTAACGATCCTTCTTATACTCGGGTTCTTCGTGGGCACCTCGGCGTGGTGTAATGGTTAGCAAGGTTGTCTCGCTAGAACAATTACAAGTGAGTTCGATCCTCACTGGGTGCTCTATACTTCCGGCCTTGTGCCACATCTAAGCAGTGCTTAGAAAATCGCTACTCATATCCTTCATTTCCTATGACCTCCTCTTTCATTAACAGGACACACCTCAGTTATCGCCATCATTTTTTTTTTTAGAAAAACCCTGTGCCTTGTGTTATTCTCGGGCATGAATTTTTGTATTTTCTTTTAATCATTTGACCTCAAACAAGGCAATGAAGCCACTAAGACACAATGGGATGCTGAAAGTTAAAGACTATGGGGAAAAACATTATTAAAGAGAGAGAGAGAACATAAAAAAGTAAGGATGAAGAAGACGGATAACGATTGATATTGCATTTAAAATTTTGAAGAACGAAGTTGACTCTGAAGCAAGAAGCCGGAAGAGAGTTCCACGAGCGAAAAACGCGGGAAAAGAAACTGGTAACATAGAACTCACGGTCACGTCTAGCCATTCCAACTATAAAATTACGAGATCTTGCCACCAATCTAGTACTACACTTAAATTCATAAAGTTTAAGTACCATAGAGGAAAGTTCATCAGAACAATTCCCATGAAAGTATTCATCGAAAAGGCACAGGGAAATTAGATTATGGCAGTGGGAAACTGAGGACCAATCACATTGCAGATTCTTCTTTGGACTTTACCAAGAATCTCTAAATATATAGCAGAAGCACCAGACCAAATATGGCAGCGATATTCAAAGTAAGGACGAATAGTAGACTTATAAATATGTAAGATAGATTATAGCGAGAAAAATTGTCTATAACGACACAGCGAAGCAACATAGCAACAGACGAAGCAATTGATTCGATATAAAAAAAAGTATGTGAATATGGCTTTCCGTATTTCCCTTTTCTGTAGTATTTGCGAGGGAAGATATTAGAATGGGTTTCCGTTATCTCTTCTCCTCTTTACAATTCAGAGGGTTTCCTTTTCGGGCACTGGTTGCCACTCAAGGCTAAAGAGACAACCTTACCCTTGTATTTAACACAAAAACGGATTCATGCCTTTCTCAAGAATATTAGTGCGAAAGTGAATGCAACATACTAGGCCGAATTTTGATCCTGGCTCTTCAATTTTATGTTCCACGCTGATAGCCATTACAATACCTTCATATATACAACGTGATACACTTGAGCTCTGTTTTCCATATATTATTATTGATTAAGCACTCCAGATTACGAATTTCAATTTTATTTTATTTTTTACATTTTAAAAATCACATCTTATGAACATATTTTGTTTTGGCTTCCATAGGTCAAATCAGTTTTCAATGAATTTATATAGCAAACTGTCCTCCAACTTAATTGTTTCTTAAATTTTATATTTTATTTTAAAATTGTTTATATTTGTGATCTTGGGTGTTTAATCCATAGTAATTTGTGAAAAATATTTGGAAGCAATGCCAAAAAAAAAAAAAAAAAAAAATCTGGTCGAAGTGCCTATTGTGTCCATTACAGGTACTTCTGGAAAAAAGTAGTAAATAAAAGCGATAAGAAAGAAGGAATAATCAATCGTAAGAAGACAATATGTATATTGATTAGCAAAAGAAACAACCGAAGATGCGAGCTATATAATGGAGATGTCAAAATCAAGCAGGTACAAATTAGCTACCTTGGAAGTGTTATTACAGAAGATTGAAAATACGTCACTCAAATCCGAGGTTACGTTGGAATAGCAAATGACGCCATTGAAAAATTAAACAAAATATTAAGAAACGAAAAAATTTTCTTGAAGATAAAAAGAAAAGGTTGCTAATCTGTTATGTAATACCCACAGTCAATATGGCAGTGAATGCTGAACTATTTCCTCACAGAGGATTGATTCATCGGTTCGTTTACTACGGCTTATCAACTCTTTGCAAGTCATTTAAAGCCAGGAAATATTTTAGATTATAAAATATTTTTTGGAGACAATAACGATTTAGTGATACAAGTTTTATTAATTAACCCATATCTGGGGGGAAGAGGTGCGTTTATACCTTTCCCAAGGGTATTTGCGCGTAAGTGAATATAACGAACCCAAGGAGAATTGGAATTCGGCATTCCGATTAACAATTCTGATCGTTTACACTAGCAGCAAATCGTATCTTATAGCGCTTGGTATTCCGAAATGGTCACCCATGGAGGTATTAACCAGGCTCGAGGTTGCTTAACTTCGGTGATCGTACGCAAATTGGTGTTTCAACGTGATGTGGCCGTAAGCCTAGACGAAGAGGAAACATAAAATCACGAAGGCATGTTGTTCTGTAAATGATGTTGAGAATACCATGAACAATGAGGAAGTCTTAAGGAAAAAGAGTTGAAATTTCTGGAACGCATAATGAGGAAAGAGGGCTTGGTGATTTTGACACTCGGAAAACATACCGATGGCAAGAGAATTCAAGGGAAACAAAGAGTAGTAGACTTAACGAACTTTGTGCAAATGAGTGGTGATTTTCCAAGCATAGCTTAGATGTGGCACAAGGCCGAAATTAGGGAGCACCCAGTGAGAATCGAACTCACTACTCAGGCGTAATTGTTCTAGCGAGACAAGCTTGCTAACCATTACACCACCTCGAGGTGCCCAACTTTGTATAAATGGGTGGATGAGCATGAAGTGCGATGGAGAGCAAGGAGACAGACATTGCTTTGGATTACAGAAGACAGGAAGTTGTGGAGAGCCATTATAGCCAACATCGTGAAAGGATATGGCACATGAAAGAAGATGCTAGTAATTGATATAAAAAGTATAAAAGCAAATTTATAATTCCTGATGAAATCAAATACATTTGGAAAAGTGTATCACGTTTGAGTTGGCACTCAGAAATATTGTACACATTACCAACATTGCTTTCTTCTTTTGGTATGAATCCACCTTAGAAATGTTCATCGGAAAGCTAATTTCTAATTCTTATTCGGTTCATTTTATTCACTGACACGCAAATACCGTTGGGAAAGGTATGAATCAACTTCTTCTCATCTCCTCCAGATATGGGTTAATTAGTCAAACTTGTATCACTAAACTATTATACTGTTCAAAAATAAAACAAATTTTCGTAAAAAATATTGACATTTCAGTATTAACAGATCGCAACAGCTGTTAGGGAGACGTGATTAAATATACTTTAATGTTTTTAAAAAAATTATTCACTATTATTGTTGTTTAAGTAATAAGCATTATAACATGGCACAAATAGCTATAAAAGCATTTTTTACGTATTTATGGTTATTTTTTAAATTTTACTATCTGTTAGCATCCCATGGAAAAGGCGTGATATAAAAAATAATATCATATGATGCAATATATGAAATAATCTCTTTTGTTAGAGATAGAAAATTATCAAAAAAAAAAAAATAAAAAGAAGACTCTCATGAAGGACGCTATGTTTTTTTACTTCTAAGTCATGGCTATCTTAATTTTGATGAAAATGATGAAAAAGATTGTAAAGCAGGCTTACGAACTACACAGAGATTCTTAAGAAATTTCGAATGCAATAGCGATTCTTATTCTTCTGATTTTATTAATTAATAAACTTAACATTATACATTAATTACTAAATTTTTTAAATTAATAACTATTTGTGCTCAGTTGTTGACATTCATAACTATCCGCTGATGTGTTAAAGTTTTGGAATAATGCAATAATAAAAATTTAAATTTTATCTCTCTGATAGACATCGCGATCTGTATATAGCCACAAACAACCAACCAACTAACCATTTATTTTTCTCTTCGTGAAAACGGATTATTTAAAAACTCGATATTCATGACTATGAAAATATGGACTTTAATGTTCCAGGTGAAATAAAGAGGAAAAAAAGGCTTCATTTCTCTTAATTTTAAGCGATATACATGAAAAGTTAAGATACAAAAATAAACTTGAATGAAATTTGCTGAAAACTTAAAAGCGTCAGGAACAGCTGTCACTCTCTAGTGTTTTCTCAACCGCTGCGCACGAGCGTATAGTACATAGCTGGGCCCCAAGTTAACTAAAGAGTAATTTTATGATTCTTTTTTTATTTTATTTTATTTTTAAAAACACCTTTATTTTTACAAAGCTAGAGACGTCAAGCGCATGGCTTCCACGTCTAAGTCATGTCTCTGTCATTTGAAATTTTCAACTGAATGCTAAATTCTTTAATCTTTAAGGAGTGGGTAATCCTTTAACTTTTACCTCCTCCCTCAAGTGATTTAAATCAGTCATTATCGTTCAATCTCTCTCTCTCTCTCTCTTTATTATTATTATACATAAATCCTTGTAAATGAAAACTATACCGCTGATCTTTTTGGGGAACGCTAAAACAAAATGTTATATTTTCAAATTTCTTATCTGCTTTTCCTTATTGAATTGTAAAATTCGCCTCAAACTTTTAGTTATTTTGCCCAGAGTTAAACAAAAAAAAAAAAAAAAAAAGGTTGAGAAACACTGTTCTAGTTAGTTAACAACTTACATCAAAGACATGAATTAAGCTCTCACATGTCTCTCAAGGTTTAGCTAAAGGCGATAAATATTTCAACAATATAATTTGGTCAAATAAGACATACCTCCATTAATTTGGTCTCAATTCAATTTTAAATGCTTAGAGGAAGCCAAACGAAACCTTCAAGTCGAAGACAGTTAAATACGACGGGAACAATATCATGATATGGACTCACATTACATCTAAGGGTACAGACAGACTTCGTATTCACATGGAAGATGAACGATGCTAAATACCGCAAGATTGTGGAAGAACATCAAGCAGAAAAATAGGAAATTAAACATGGTTGAATTTTCCAACATTTTAAAGACGTCGAGAACACGGTACAGAAGAGTAAAATTGGCTAAAGAGGAAACATATTTATGCTCTTAAGTGAACCATTCAATTTCCTGATCTGAATCGCATGGGAAATTTGTGACATGAATTAAAGATTCGAATCGGGAAACGACAGTTCTCCAATCTTAGAAAACTGAAGAAATTATATGAAAAACAGTGTTTCACTCTTTCTTCTGACGTCAGCGCACCTCTAGTCTACAAAAAATGTTTAGAGCCTGTCATTGGAAATAAATAACATGCGACAAATATACTTGCTGATAGAAGTCGAATAGTTTTTAGTTGATAAGAGTGAATATACATACTGATTTGCTGAAATCGATTCAACTATTTTAAAATTAAATTTGTTGTAAACTTGTACAACAAAAAGTATATCTGAGAATAAGAAATATAAAATAAATTTAATTTCTATATAAACTGCATTTATGAAGCGGACTGATACTATATATATATATATATATATATATATAGATAGATTATGACATTGTTTATATTTATACGTTCTTTTTATAGATACAAATATTTAAGAAAATGCTCTGTTTATAATAAAGAGCATTAACGATATTTACCGGCCTGAATGTCCGAGATATTTTCATAGACAATATGTGTTCTCCGACGGGAATCGAACCTGTGTCTTATACGGAACCGTCATATAGCCTTTCGTGCTTTACCGATTTAGCCACAGAGCAGTTTTTCGCCTAGCAAGGTGGATTTTACTGTTTTTAAACTACAATTCTCCATGATTTTCTCTCGCACATTCATATCTGCTTGATGCGTATCCAAATGTAAACCAATGACGTCACACATTATGAAATGAACAAAGTCTGACTATTATTTTAAAACATTTTTATGTTGATACGTTCTTTTTATAGATTTTTATAGATTATAGATTAATGTTTACGTTGGTCTTTTCATGTTTTCTTCTTCTGCAGGCTTGCTGGTAGTAGGGTCTTTCGTTTAGGCTTTACCAAAACTTAGATCATATTCATATAATATATATATATATATATATATATATATATATAAAATCCTAAAGAGCCTTTCCTTTTTTCCTCGGATACCAGTTTGTTTTGATATACTTGCAAGTTGTGCTATCCGAGGTTTCTTACTAACCGAGTATCACCATATATATATATATATATATATATATATATATATATATATATATATATATATATATATGCGTGTGTCTGTGTGTTTGTGTCATCCACAGACGGTTTCTCTGTATCACAGGTCATCAGTGTAGCTAGACATCCAATTGCCTCAAGTTAGGATCAAACCCAACCGATTTGGCATCAGTCGGAGATTTTTCCCCAGAGCTATCAGCTCCCGGCAGAGAGGGAGGTGAATTTTTACGTATTTTAGAATAAACCCGCCAGTGACCTAAACCACAGTTGCTTTTTTACGAAGCAGATATATATATATATACATATATATATATATATGTGTGTGTGTGTGTGTGTGTGTGTGTAGGCGTGTGTGTGCGTGTGTTTGGTAGTATGATTTCAAGCACTTTAAAGATTAATAGTAAGGACAACTTTAATAAATCGAAAGAAGCCAACATGAATCAGGGAGTAGAATAAAATCAGGAATCTAAAAGTGTTTGAACGGTAAAAATAAAGATGGCCGCGACACATAGCAAGAAGAAAAGATAACAGATTAAAGAAAAGCTTAAATAATGAAAAGCGTAGATAGAAAATGGAGACATGTGCTCCAGCGCTGTGCAGGGATTTGGGAAAACCCTAGATCAGGAAGTAATTTGCTTGCTTAATCTTATTACCTCAAGCTTTGCACAACCGGGATATTTTTAAAGCTAAAAATACGCTCACCTATTTTTACACTATTGTTCACAAGGCCTAGGGGGCACACAACGTAGAGTGTTTACTGAAGGAAGTTGTTATGTGAACGTAAGAGGAGGAGGTAAGAAGTGCATATATGTAGGATAGATAACTGACCTCCACAGACTTAAAGGGGTTAATATTATAATGATTGGGAAGCATCTCTTCGGGAGTCAGTTCCAGAAAGCAGCGGCTCTTGGAAAGTAGTTTTCCGAATGGAACTATCTTTTTACCAATGTAATTTTTAAAAATTATTTTACCCCAAGCAAAGCGGGAATGCCACTAGTACGCATACAGAGGGAAAGACAGGTTATGGCAGGATTGAGAAAAGTATACGGGCTTCAAGACTACAGAATATGGCGGTTGACGTGGCATTTTAATTTTTGATGGTTGTAGTTTTCAAGGAAGCAAGTAAACGGAAGGGAGTTGCACTGTCGGGAAGTGGGTGTAAATAAATGTTTAGAGTAGAAGTGGCGGTTTAACTATTTCAACAGCAAAAGGTTGGACCTAGATGGACCTTAAATTCATGTAGTCGAGGCATCGGGGTAAAAAATAAAATCGTCAGAGCAG